AATATAATCAACTTTTTTGTATTAAAACTTTTTTCGCTTAGTTTTTTTAGTCTCCTTTAGTTTGATTTTTTTGATTTTTTTAATTTTTGTGAGAGAAAAAATATAATAATTATGAATTGAATGTAATATTTTTATCTTATTAACTTATTTAATTTATTTTGTTATTTTGTGCTTTTTTAGCCCAAAAATGATAGCTAAACTTATTCTCAAAAATTATTGTTTTGATAACAACTCAATTTTTATCCATTTTAACCCACACGAGTAGCCTACTAATTAAAGCTTCGTTTGACATTGGCTAATATAATTAATTTTTTTTTGTATTGAAACTTTTTTAGCCTGACTTTTTTGACCTCATTTGGGATTTTTTTGATTTTTTTGATTTTGTGAAAGAAAAAGTGTAATGATTATAGATTTAATGTGATATTTTATCTTATTAACTTATTTAGTCTATTTTGTCATTTTATACTTTTTTTAATCCCAAAATGATAGTTAAACCATAGCTAAAGAGTCGAACATATAAAAGTTTCATTATATTTTCAAAAGCCTTGTATTTAACCTCCATAGTAGAGGTGGGCGCGGGTCGGTTGCGGCCACGGAACTTTCAATCTGTCATCCGTTCGCCAGATTGGCGGATTGGAGAAAATCAATCCGCATCCGTCTGCTAATCCAGTGGATGTGGATTGAGCAGATTGGTGGTTTGGCGGATGGATGCAAATCAGTTTAACGGTTTAAAATTTTATAAATTTTCAACATAATTCAATTTGTGCACTTCCTCAAAAAAAAAAAAAAAAAAAAGAAGAAAATATTACAGTTAATGACTTAAAAAAATATTACAATCACTGCATGCCTCATCCAAAGTAAGAAAGTTTAAAAGTTTAGAAGTTTAGAATATCACAATCACTGCAAGCCTCATCCATATACTACAATCACAGCATGGCTCATCTACATAAAGTATTACAATTTGTGGTTGTTAAAATATAAAAACAATTCAAATCACCAAAACTATGAACAAAGTAGCAGTAGAGATTGTATATCTCTGTATTGTTACATTTATATCTATTTTTGAAAACAAAAACCAACCAGCATATATCATATTTTCTATTTATTATTTTTAGAGATAAATTTAAAAACCAAAAAATATAGATAAATAATACGTTTATTTTTTTCAATTCAAAAAAGATATTCAAATTGAAAACTTTTTTTCATCAGAATATTTAAACTCCTTTTTAATTGAAAATACAAACATAATATTTAAACAAACTGAAAACACAAAGTCTTATAAATTACTAGGGGTGTTCGCGGTTTCGCGGTTCGGTTGCAGCTAAAGGAATTTCAAATCCGCCATCCGTCTGCCAAATTGGCAGATTGGAGAAAATCAATCCGCAACCGTCCGCTCGTCATCACGCATCCATCCAAAATACGATGGATCGATTCGATTTGATTGATTTTGACAGATCAGTATATCCGCTGCTCACTCATACTCAACTGGGTTAAAAACACTCATAACTTATAAATGCTTTGGAAGTGATTTTGCTTATCCTTGTGCATGGGTAGAAGTTTTTTCTCATTTAAAAAATAAAAAATAAAAAAATCCACACCTTGTAAGAATCATCCATCAAAAAGTTATTTTCATATTTTCAAAAAATATTTTTGCATAAAAATAATAAATTGAATAGTGTTATTAAAATGATTGTTTAAAAAAAAATTCATTATTTTTGTCTTTTTAAACAAAACAAAAAAGTTAAAAAAACAATGACAAATGACAAATGACAAAAGCACAACCAAAAAGGTCGCTGATTCACAGGAAATGACACAAACTCTAGTGATTCACAACGCTTCTCATCAATTATTGCAAGTGGCCAAAAGGTTTCAGGGACTAGCTTACAAAATTAAAAAAGTAACGCCCCAAGTAGACAAATTCCCAGAAAATTGTTACTATAAAATTCAAGCATATTTTCTAGGACCAACAATTTTATTTTTAACTTTTTCTGCCATTTTTATTAAAGTCCCAGACAAATTCTCAGAAAATTGGTATTAAAATTAAGATGATTGAATATTGATAGCTTTATATTTGAATTAAATTTATATTATAAAAAATAAATACTAGTTATTCTTGAAATTATATATTCATTGTTTTTTTTTTAAATAAAAATATTATTCAAACATATAATTATCGATATCTAATTATTTTTATTTTTCACATAAATATTCTACTCGACGAGTTATAAAAAATGAACGATTCGAATTATTAAATTCAATTTCAAAATAAACCTTCTAAACTCAAGCACACTTTTAAGTAGAGATGACTACAGGAAAAAAAAATCATGCCCTTCTTGCAATTTCTCAACAAGATCTGCAGTCAAGTTATAATTTAGCCCTCGTTTGAAATATGGGTTGATTTTTATTTTTTAACTTTTTAATTATTTTAAGTCTCGTTTGGTAATATCATTTTTTAATGTAAAAATCAAAAAGTTATTAAATAAATTAAAAAATCAACAACCTATACAAAAAAGTCAAACATTTTCTTTTCTCTCTACTTTTTACAAATCTTTTAGTAAAAAGTCAAAAAATTATTCCAAACATACAATTTTTTTTACATTATATTTTAGTCAAAAAGTTATTAAAAAAGCTTGTTACCTGGGGCCAAAAAGTCTTATTTGGGATGAACTTTTTGGCTTTTGTAAGAAAAAAATAAAATGATTATAACGTAAATGTGGCATTTTTTCATATTGATTTTTTAGTTTATTTTGTCTTTTTATAACTATTTTAGCCCAAAAAGTTTATGCCAAACATAGCCTTAAACAATTAGTTTTTTTAAAAAAAAAAATTATACTACTATTTTTTAAAAAATATTAATTAAATTATATACTCTAATTGAAGTCAAAATAATGAGGTTAAATATATCATTAAACAATAAATTATTGAATAATTAATGAATAACTTATCTTTGTAAACAAAAAAAAAAAAAAAAAAGGAAATCCAGCAAGGCAAAAGTAGTTACTATGAGACCATCTCCAATGGTTATTCAAACCTTTTATCAAATTTAAATTTGATAAAAAAAATGAGTTTTCTTTTCTGCTTCAACGGTTGCATTAAATAGGTATCAAATTGAGAATTTCACTTTTCTTTCATTAAACTGATGACAAATGTGCCTTTCATCAAATTATAGTTTATTATCATTGCCGAATGTCTCTCGAATGTTCTCCCGGATGATCACCTCAAAGTAAAAATTTGTGAAACAATTGCACTAGTCAGTCGACCTCCCGATCGACTATCTCAAGGCAAAAAAAAAAAAAATTTACACTGGTATTTTAATAAAACTTCAAAATCTTTCATTTGAACACTTGATATTAAAAGAAATTTTTACTCAAATTTAATAAAAAAATTAATACACCGTTGGAGATGCTCTAACTAATTTTAAAATTAATTAAATAAATAATAATAAAGACATTGTGATAATAGTGATGCATTATCAATTGTTCATGTTTGTTTAATACATTATATCAATACTAGTCGTGTTTCTATGAAACACCCAACCCCACCCGAGTCCAGATCCCCTTCTTGAGCCCCTCCTTCATTCCTTCCTTGCAAGGGCTTTCGGGTCCACTTTGAGGCCCAATTTTGATAATCCGAACCGTTCATATGTTTAGATTTATTCAGTATATTATACCTGTAAAAAATCAAGTTGATCGAATATCAGAAAGTATGCGTTCAGAAAATTGGGACTACAAACTATTTTTTAATAAACAATTTTCCGAACACATACTTTATGATATTCGATCAACTTGATTTTTTACAGATATGATATACTGAATAAATCTAAAAATATGAACGGTTTGGATTATCAAAATTGGGTCTCAAAATAGGCCCGAAGGCCTTGCAAGGAGGGAATGAAGGACCGAAATGAAGGGGAGGATCCCAATTCAACCCCACCCCCCTTCCTTTTCTAAAAATATCCTTTTCTAAAAATAAAAAAAATAAAAACTCATTACATGCTATTTATAATGATTAATGATTCGCTTATAGACTATATTTAATCCAAATTTATCGGAATGGGCTTCTTTTTTTAAAAAAAGACTCATTTAGGGCTAGTTTGACAATTTTTAAAAAAATTAAAAAGTCAAAAAGTTATAAAAAAAATTAAAAAATTATCACCATTCACCAGAAAAAATATACAAATTAACTTTTTGGCCCATCAACGTACTAACGTCAAAGCAACTGCTGCTAAAGGGGAAAAAAAATTACGTGTGTATATTCATTAAGTTTGATGGTAAAGTTGGGTCCGTGGGGCCCATTATGATTTCCGTTTTGATAATCCGAACCGTTCAATATGTAGAACTCATCTAGTACTATATACTTGTAAAAAATCACGTTTATCGGATATTGCTAACTATATGATCAAATCAGTTTTGTATAAAAAAGGATGGTGTTATAGTTAACAGTTGACAAAAAAACTAACAGGATCAGATAGTTATCGATATTCAATCAATGTGATTTATTACAAACATATAATACTTGACGAGTTCTACACATTGACGGTTCCGATTAGAAAAACGGTATCCGTGGTGGGCCCTAACAGACCAAACAACACTGTCCAATCAAAGCCTTAAAAGGAGGCAATCTTTTCCCTTCTACTCACCCAAACTGCACTACTATACTATCTTCTCCTACACACTTATTTATATAATTTTTTAATACACATTTTTTTTTATAAAAAGTTAAAAAATTAACCCAAACGTCCATATTTTTTTTCTCAACTTTTTAGTCTAAAAATATAAAAATACACTTATTTAAGACATCCGAAATAACTCTTTAAATAAATTCGAACTAAATAAATTCAGTAAATAAATCATTAATCAAAATCATCCTAAAACATAGGACACGTTTGGTATAACATTTTTATAATAAAAAAAATAATAAGCTAGAAACGTGACTACCTCCTCAACTTCCTACAAATAAATTAATGAAAAAGTTTGAGAATTTTGACAAAATCACTTAGCAATTGTGTGGTAAAAATTAAATTTATATAATATGAAAAAAATTTAAATTACAAAATAATAATTTCTAAGAGTTAAATTTAAATTCGTAACATTGCTGATAAATTGTTTCAATTTATTTAACTCCAGCTTGCTATCATGCAAATTCTCAAAATTTAAAACAAAAAAACATAAAATAATCCTCATAAAAGGCACCGAACAATACTATAATTTGTCGTCGTCGTCATCGTGGTTATTGTAATGATAATAAAATCAAACGGCTAAAATCTTGAGAAAACCATCATAAGAAACCCCTTGATTTTGATCACCACCGCCCAATGTGATCATAGCCTTGATATCCTCATCAGTAGCATCAAAACCAGCCAAATTGAAGTACCCACGGAGGTCCTCCTCCCCAACCACACCGTCACCATCTCTATCCATAAACCGAAACGCCTCCTCCATCGCCCCCCACCTACTTCCTCCTCCGCCGCCGCCGCCGTTCCTCTCGTTCAACACCGTCTCGAATTCATCGTACTCCACGAAGCCGTCTTTGTTGGAGTCCGCCACCGACATCATCGACCGAATCACATCCTCCTCCTCAGCTCCGCCGCCGGAAAATCCCTTGTAGAATGTTTTCAGGTCGGAGGGGCTTATCTTGCCGTCGCGATCGGCGTCGAGAACGTCGAACGCTGACCGGATATTCGAACCACTGGCGGTGTCGAGGCGGTGGTTGGTGCCGGTAGGACACATTGTTGTTGTATGTATCACAAAAATATGAAATGAGAGAATCAATGAAGATTGTATTGGACCGGTGTTAATTGGTGTTTTGTATTTTGTAGTTGAAGGTTTCTAAAATTTAAGGGTGCTATATATAGAGAGAGAGGTGTTTTTGTTTTGGAATGTGTCCACGCACGAGAGACTTGGGGAATGCGGTGTCAAACCATTCGTAAGGGGTGTTTGGCAAATTGTTATTTATTTATTTTTTTGAAGTTAAAATAATTAATAAAAACAAAACAAATTAAAATAATTAATAAGATAAAATATTACATCTAAATTATTATTATTATTTTTTTCAAATAATCATTAAATTAAGTGCTTGTTTGACATGTGTTAAAAAAATACATGTTATTTTAGCACATTATCCTATTTGGATCACAATCATATTATTTGAATCACATCACTCTCTATCCCATTATTTTAAATCCAACCTATATTTCACATTTTTTTTTATAAAAAGTCAAAAAGTATATTGATCTAGTACTTTCCAAACAACTCCATCTAGCAAATAAAGTCAACTAAGCCTTCGTTTGGCAATGACTTTTTTAGTTAGTTTTTTAACTTTTTTGACTTTTTTAGTCTGAGAGTTTTTTTGTTCGTTTGGTATTATTAATTGGCTTTTTGGTTTTTTAGCTTTAGAATAGTGGGTTTTTTTTTGTTCTTTTGTATTTTTTGTCCTTCTATAATTTTTTGACTTTTTTTTTGTTTGTCATTTTGTGATTATTTAGCCCAACATGTTTACCAAACAACCCCTAAATTTCTAAATATAATTTTTTTAATTAAATTAAAATAATTTAAAATAAAAAAATCAATTAAAATAATTAACTTCTCAAAGAAGTCGATAGATTCTCTTGAAGAGTTTGCTGATTCGAAGACGCATGCGGTGACGTATGTTGAGTTTGAAAAGAAAATACGTACTAATTGATAGCTGCACACAACTAAAAACAACATTTTTACAATTATAAAAAATTGAGTGGAATGATATATGAGGCTGTTAGGTGCACACGCCCCACATCCCAAACGTCACACGTGATCTATTCTTTGTATAGCGTTGGGTTTTGTTTGTTTGTTTTTTGTTTGTTTCTGTTGGGCTGATAATTAAACTTTAGCGGACATGTGAGGTTCACACAGGGATGAGACACCGAGTCACCGACTGAAATACCAAAAGATCTAAGTGATTCACTAGTGGCCACAAGGCTTTAGAGACTAACATACAAGAGTCAAAAGCATCAGCCTCTGAAAGAAGACCAATTTCAGCAATAGTGTTAAAATTCACATGCATTTTTTTAAACTAAAAAAATTGTTAGGTAATGTTGAAATATGATTTGATATTTGTAGTGTTTTTGATAAATAAAAAATTATTATATATATTGTTTTAAGAAGTAGAAAAATGTTAATTTATTGGCTTCTCTTAAAAAAATATGTAAAAAAAAAATAAAGAAATGATATAGCACAAATAAATCAATAAACTAATAAATTGATTTTTTTTCATGTTCTCTAAAAAGGTCTAAGTGGGTAATTTATTAACGTTCAACGACTTATGCCTCAACATTGTCCCATTTATAAAATAACAAATTAACGGTTGACAAAAAACTATTTTGATCACATAGTTATCGATATTCGATGAATGTGATTTTTTACAGGCATATAGTACTTGACGAGTTCTACATATTGAACGGTTCAGATTATCAAAACGGGACCCGTAGTGAGTTCCCGCGGGCTCAATAGCACGATCCAATCCGATCCCGGACTGGACAGAAGCCCTACCCAATAAATTTATATGCCATTAGTAGCAAGCACATGTGAACAATATTATATGATTACTCTAAAATTACGGAACAATTATTTAGCTGAAACTTATATTCACAACTTTTTAACTCACAAAAAAGTAACAACAAATGTAATCAGAAAAAAGTAACAATAAATGTAAAATTGTATTTGGATAAATGGCCATTACGGAGGTTTAAAAAATAGGTACGTAAGAAGCTCTACAAGTAATGAGTCTGTCTAGTGTAATTTTCTATAAAATTTTATCAAATAATCTAGCACAGACTTTTTAAAGTTTTATAAAAAGAAAACCTATTATGCCTCCGTTTGGGAAGTGGGTTGGCTTTTTGGCTTTTTGACTTTTTTGGCTATTTTAGCCTGGGCTAAAAAGTTTGGTTTGGAAAGGACTTTTTGGCTTTTTGACTTTTTTGACTTTTTTTGTGAGAGAAGAATGTAATGATTATGGATTTGATGTGATGTTTTGTTTTTTGTGGCTAAAATAGTCTATTTTGTCTTTTGTGGCTAAAATAGCCAAAAAAGCCCGAAAAAGCCCTTCCCAAACGGACCCTATATAAACAACTCATATAAGTTGCTTCAAATATTCTATTACACTGATCTTTGTTTAATAAAATTAAATGATCAAAACTAATACAGATAATATATAAAAATAGAAATAAACAATGATAAAGTATACATTTAAGAATAATAACAAATTAAAATATCATTCTTCATATCAAACTTGTTGAATTTAATGCATTTTTTTTTTTAAATCTCAAAGATGGTTCCATTTTATTTTTGAATAGATTGTTTATAAAAAGTTCTAATAAACTAGGGTGCAACTCGGGCGGGTTCGGTCGGGTTGGGGGTCTGCCCAAGTCCGACCCGAATTGTATTTGGCACTGCCCAAGCCCGACCATGAACCCGAACATTGTTGCCCAAGCCCGGCCCAAGCTTTGTATTTTGAACTCGGGTTGCCCGAATTGGGGTCCCTCTTTTTTCTTCAAAATTCCAAACTCTTTTGTTTTGGAAAATTGGAGAAATTAGTTTATTGGTTTTTTTTGATTTATTTTTTTAAAAAAATATGTAAAAAAATAGATAGTTAATAAGACCAAAATAAGTCAATAAATTAATTTTTTTTTCTATATTCCCAACAGAATATTAATAGGTGAGAAGCAAGCATCACCTCTCTATGCCATTTTGCTCCACACAATTTTTGGGATCTGAATGACACACCCCACGGTGTTACGACTCTACACCTCCTCAATTATTAGAGAGATTATAACGTTCCGATTGAATACTTACTGATTTAAATAGTAAATTTTAACACTTTCATATTAGTATTTTAAAAGAAAACAAGAAGGATGTTAATTGATTAAAGAAGAATATTGTTTTTATCGATGTGATTGAGACCCTCTCAATAATCAACTCTCACCACTCCTACACACGTGGAAGTTGGTGATTGGAAGAGAAAAAAATAAAAAATAAATAAATAAATAAAAATTAACAAACCACAAGCCAAAAGGAGTCATGGGAGTCACCTTTGCTTCATATCAAACTTGTTGAACTTAATGCATTTTTTTTTTTTTAAATCTCAAAGATGGTTCCATTTTATTTTTGAATAGATTGTTTATAAAAAGTTCTAATAAACGAATACTTTTCTAATTGCAAGAATTACGAAAATTTTAATAAAAAATAAAACAAAAACAATAGAATCAAAAGACTTGTCATCTCACGCTTCAAAACAAAAAAGTATGCATCTTGTGTTTCGTATCTGTTTTAACAGAGTGTTGGGGTCCCTCTTTTTTCTTCAAAATTCCAAACTCTTTTGTTTTGGAAAATTGGAGAAATTAGTTTATTGGTTTTTTTTGATTTATTTTTTTTTAAAAATATGTAAAAAAATAGATAGTTAATAAGACCAAAATAAGTCAATAAATTAATTTTTTTTTTCTATATTCCGAACAGAATATTAATCGGTGAGAAGCAAGCATCACCCCTCTATGCCATTTTGCTCCACACAATTTTTGGGATCTGAATGACACACCCCCACGGTGTTACGACTCTACACCTCCTCAATTATTAGAGAAATTATAACGTTCCGATTGAATACTTACTGATTTAAATAGTAAATTTTAACACTTTCAGATTAGTATTTTAAAAGAAAACAAGAAGGATGTTAATTGATTAACGAAGAATATTGTTTTTATCGAAGTGATTGAGACCCTTTCAATAATCAATTCTCACGTGAAAGTTGATGATTGGAGGAGAAAAAAATAAAAAATAAATAAATAAATAAAAATTGACCAATCACAAGCCAAAAAGAGTCAGGGGAGTCACTTTGGAAGAGGTCTGGATCATTTTTTTTTTTGTTTTTAATTGGCTTTTGAGTAAATCGTACAGTCTATTTTTTAGGGCTCGCAACGTCATCAAGACTATCATACACTAGATTGAACTAGTCCAATCACACAACTAGATCGGAGAGAAAATTTGCTCATTGACAAATGGTACAAAAAGTATATGCTTTTTTTCAATTATCGTTCATTTTCTTCTTGTTGAACCGTCTATTTCAAAATTTGTCTATTATTAATTTGTACGGTTTGTTGCAACTTCAATGAGTCACTTATAACAAATTATTTTGAGATTCTATGCCAAATAATTTATTATAAATATTTATATGTATATATATTCTTAAATTATAAAAGAGATTTTTTAAATTTTGCGTGTGTGGAAGCCAAAAAAAAAATATGTATTAACTTAGACCATCTCCAACGTTGTACCAGATTCAGCATTAAATTTAAATTTGATGAAAAAAATCACTTTTTCTCTCTCCAATGGTTTCACCAGAGTGGTATCAAACTAAGAATAGAGCAAAAGTTTCATTAAACTGAGGATCTGCGTGAGATTTCACCATTTCACAGTGCTGTAACGTTGGAGGTGGGCCCATCGGCCAACCGGCTGGACGTCCGGCCGGTTGACCCATCGGTCGACCGGCTCATGCAAAAATTAGCCTGCGAACTGGTTCAAATGGTTCAAATTACTGGTTTAAATGGTTCAATTTTTTTTTTTTGAACCGGTCGACCCACCAGATGTCCCATTTCCTTTTGATGCACACTATAGTAACCATAACCATTGGAGCTACACGTATCAGATCAAGAAAATCAACTTTTTTTTACTCAAATTTGGTGAAAATTTTGCTAAACCGTTGGAGATGCTCTTATTGGGCTAACCCAAATAAGGCATGACAATGGATCCAGCCTAAATAAAGAAGCCTATGGAACAAATATCACACCCCCCATCTATAAAAGAAGCGTACCCCAT